TTATGCAGTATTCAGTGTACTTTTATTTTTAATGTTATACTCAACTCTGGATGAAAAATCAGATAGTTTTCTGCTTGTAATATTGACATCCTAAATTTTAAATAATATTGATAAAATATTTTTGCCTTTTCTATTTCCTACATACTAAGTTATCTAAATATCAGAATGTCAATAGTTTTTCAATTAAAATTGCATAAATGTCATTGTATTAAAACAATTCAATACAGTGTAGTAAGATTTATAACAATATAATAAAAAGGAGCAAACATCAAATTTCCCAGCATCTGATCTAGGCTAATATAGATAATCCCCAAGTTACGAGCATTCACTTAACGTTCGTTCGAAGTTACGTGATGAGCGCCCCCTAGTGTTTATGAGCAACTCCCGAAGTTATGAATATTGCAGCACCATGGCAGTCATTCGCCCTTACAAGCTACTTCACTGCAACATTCACCCTATTTCCCCCCTCCATTCCTCACAACTGCTTCCCCGGAGACTCCCTTCCTGTTGCGCCGGACTTACTTATCTTGCAAAAATCCTCTCTGCTGCGGTTTCTTTCCCTTTGAAGGAGAGGAGAGTTGGCTTGGAAATGTTTTTTTGCACCAAGAATGGAAATTTCTGGAGTCCGTGATCTTGAGCGAGTGTTTGAAGTTACGTCAAATCCCGGACCTCAGAAACTTTCATTCTTTATGCAAAAGGTGTCTGTCTCCTGCTCCTGCCCCCAACTCCTTTCTGCCTGACAGCAAGCCTGAAGCCTTCAACTGAGGGAGAAGGCCAGGCCCCTCTCACCCGTGTCCAGCCCGCCGGGGCTCGCCATGCTTGGGGAGAAAGTGACCCCGTTGTCTCCGGAGCCTCAGAGTCCTCCTCCAAGCAGCCCAGAATGGAGGCTGGGGGAGGATTCTGCATGCCTCCGGAGGTTGGATGTAGCCCTCAGAGAACTGCTCCAAGCTGCTGCTGCCCGGACCGGAGCTTTCAAGGGCCTGATCCAAGCCTCATAGGTGTTTTCCTAGCTATTTGCACCAGGAACGGAGGTTGGGGGGACTTCTACATGCCTCCGGAGGTTGGATGCAGCCCTCGGAGGACTGCTCCAAGCTGCTGCCACCTGGAACTGAGCTCTGGAGACATGCAGAAGGCCGCCCCATCTCCGTTCCTGGCACAAATGGCTAGGAAAATGCCTCTGAGGTTTGGATCCGCTTCCGCTTTCCAGTCTGGATCAGGCTACAGGGGGGCTGCAGAAGCGTTTGCTGGCCTCAAATCCTGGCGGCAGCAGCCTGGAAAAGGCCTTCAGAGCCCAGATCGGGCCACGGGGATACGCAGAAGCGTTCCCCAGCCTCAAATCCGGGCAGCAGCAGGAACCACGGCAGAGAGGAAACAGATCTTTTCCAGGTGAGTCCAGCGCAGCAGGGAGGGAGGGGGAAGCATGCAGTATCTTAGTGGGTTGAGGAGGCCTTGGCGGCCTGTTCCAGCACTAGGCCCTCTATGGCCTTCCCCACCCTAAGATATCTCATGTTCACTTAATGAGTCGCGTGCGTTTTAACGAGTAAGGGAATGATCTCGTACCTCGAAGAGATTCACTCTACAAGTTTTCAAGTTACAAGTGGAACAGGCAGGCTCTATTACACTTGTAACTTGAGCACTACCTGTAATTAAATGCAATTTTTTTTCTAGAGATCATTTCTGCTCATCAAAAAAACGTCAAGAAAGCACTCAGGTTTATAGATAATCTATCTTAATCTGTGCCATACAATCTGGATCCCATAAATGCCTTTACCAGTTTTTGACTGGCAAATATACACTTTGCTTCTGTAAGAGCATGCTTGAAAAAAGAAAAATCTTTCTGATGTCACATTGATTTTTGAAGCAGAGGGAGGATGAAAGAGTATTTCTAAGGCTACACTGATGTTCAAAGACATTTTTAAAGCCATGCTGCTGCTTACTTCTTTTTTTGCTGGAATTTAGTGGGATGAGATAATAAGCTTCTTACTGTGTTCAGGATAACCTCTTCCCCACAGCATAAAAGCATCAGATTTCCATGCTTCTCTGCCTGGAGAAAATCTCAGATTTGTTAACTTCTGTACCCTTTTGTTCAGGATAAGGGTGTTTTTTTATAGTTTTCATTGTATGCCTCTCTACATTATACTTCTGTTTTTTCAGTCATTATTTAACAAAAAGACAAGCCATATTAGATCTGTGACCGTATGTGAGAGGACATGTCTTTAATGCAATATCATTCATACAATAAGTGTAGTCACTTATGTAGTTCTAGCATTGTGAAACTAAACTGCCTTCAGTTATGCTTCTTTTCCTGTCGTATCTAGAGGATTACTTTGATGGCTCATGGCTGCTTTTGGCAATGTATGGCCTTTTGTGATCTAAAATATTTATATTTAATACTTTGTTTTTAGGTAGGTTTTGCCCACAGCATAATTTCTTTTGCAACATTTCTTGGAACTTTAAATAAAATGGTCGTTATTTTCTAATATACAACTTTGAAAATTCATTCTTCAGATTTCTGCTGAGCTCTATGTAATTGCAATGTATGTTAAATTGCCAGAAAATTGAAGAGTTTATAAATGAATGTGATGAAATTCTGTGAAGAATAGAAGTAGTCCTTGATTTACAACCATTCATTTAGTGACTGTTTGAAGTTATAACAGTTCTGGAAAAAAGTGATTTACAACTAGTCCTTGGACTTATGACCCTACCAGTATTCCTGTGGTTACATGATCACAATTCGGTCACTTGGCAACTAACATGTTTTTACAAAAGCTGCAGCATCCTGGTGTCAGGTGATCACTATTTACGACCTTTGCAACCGGCTTCCGACAAGCAAAGTCAGTGGGGGAAGCCAGACAACTGCATGATTCACTTAAAAACCTTGGCAAAAAGTCATAAAATCAGGTGTGAGACTCACCTTGCTTAGCAATGGAAATTCTGGTCCCAATTGTGACTGTAAGTCGACGACTACCTATACTTGAATTGAATTTTTTTTTTAAAAAAAAAAAAATACTTTTTGCCAAACGCCCTTACACTCATTTACAATAGGTAACTTTTTATCTTGTTGAACTTACCTGCCTGGCAGGCTTGCTCACTTAAATACATTTTTGTTTCTAGGCAGGATAAGAATTTTGTGAAAAGAAGTGTACACTTCTCCATGTGATGTTTTATTTTTCAGTGTAAGATTAAAGGAGTTCACTTAAAGGAGTTCACTTAAAGGAGTTCTTTTACTCTAAATGGGTAAAGGGGGAGGCAGACATACTTGGTTCTCAAGAACAGACCAAGAAGAAGAAAGGGAATGAACCAGGTCTGCAAAAAACAAGACCTATGAAGATATGAAAAAGTGCTGTGAACACTTGCGTACAATGTAGTAGTCTACATATGTATACTTCTTTCTGTCTGGGCAACCAGACCAACTAAGTCATCATTTTTTCCCCATCCTTTTTCTTCCAGTCTTTTTCATGACTTTGTGTATTTTACAATATAACCTTGAGGGTAGAAAATTTTATTACATTTTATTTATTTAAAGAATTTGTTAGACTGCCCTACTTTCAGTTTGTGATGTAGTACATCAATAAAAGTGCAAACTAATAAAATACAGTCAATGCATAGTTGAGGCTGGGCATAATAAAACTGGGAGCTTGTTGGGTTGACTAGTGAGATAAACCTATTTTAAATAAGTAAAATAAATAGCGACTATGTGGTCTGGTTTTAACAACGTAGCCTATCTGCATTTTTTTTTACTAATTATTCAGAACAACTAGCTTTATTCTTCACTAAATTGATGCCAATTTTTTAAGAAAAACTTTGACTTGGGGATGGGAAAAATGAAAATGCCTGCATAGATCTTTAAGGACCTACCATAATAAATTAACTAGGCTATAAGTAAAATATGCTTTTACCAAGTTGCTTTCCAAGTGACTGTCTTATAATACCACCTGGTGTTGAGGAGAGTAATAGCACTACAATATTTTGAGATGGTAAATACTCCCTTTCAAATGAGCTCTTTAGTGGTTGGCTTAAATTCCTTCAGGTAGCTGACATTTACTGGAAATGTTCAATCCTAGAATGGTATAATTCCTTCTGATAATTGAATCATGGAAATAAATGAATGTCTGCAATTAGCAATGTTTAATTGATGTTGCTGCTTATTGAAAGAAGAAAGAAAAGCATTCCTGACCATCCTTTTTACCTTCAACAAAAGAGGTTGTAAAAAAGTTATTAATACTCTACTGTGTTTTAATTTATTTAACAAATGGACTAGACCATTCTTCCTGAAAAAGATGTCTTTCAAATCTGATAAGATATGTCACTCATAACCCCCCAGCCAGCATAGCTCTTGACCACATAGGATGATTATCCTTGTAATCCACCCCATTTGGAAATCATTGACAGCTTTTGTAAAGTACATTTGTACTTCACTGAGAAAAAACACTGGGGGAAAAGAGGTATGGGAAATCCAGAGCTGTAGCTTATCGCATTCTTCTTCATTGTTCACTATAATGATTGAGCTGAAAAAAGTTATGTATAGAATCATTGGGGGCCCATCAGATCAAGTAATCTGGCCTACCAAATAGCCATGAAATTAATAATATTCTTGTCCATATAGCAAGATACCTATGAAGGTAAACCTATATTCTGAGTTTCTGCAGAATTCATGGTAGGAAGTCCTAGATGACAAAAGGAATTTAGACGTCACTGCCTTTAATGTAAATTTAGCTGATTTCCCCTGATTTTGCCTGCTATATTGAATAGCCTTAAGATGTTATTATACTAATGCAAACAAAGAAAAAAATATGCCTGTTAGCTGTGCTGAAGTGCAAATGCCTGACCTAGTTCTCCTTTGCTGTAACTTGCTTCTTAGATGTCCTAATGTAGTAGGTTACCTGGCAGGAGAAGATAAACTTGGAGTATTGTTTTAAAATGATTGAATTGTTTTGGAAAGTGCTGTTGCTTTATTTAGGAAGTAGCATTATTGCTGACATCTCTCTTTATGCTGGCAGGAGTAGGAACTCCCAAGGGAAGGCTTACTACTGTGAAGGCCTTATCGGGATCTTCAGCTAGTTCTGGCCTCAGTTCAAAGGTGCCCGTCAGAGAACCAGGACTTCGGAGAACCTCTAGCATCTCTTCAGTCAGCAGCACTCAGAGTGACCAAAGCACTTTCAGCAATAAGTGTAAGTCCATTTTGGAGATTATTGTTTGTTTAACAAATAACTGAATAAAACCCATTGTGGTTCATTATAACTGCTTTTTTCCTCTGCTAAAAGTGGTCACTGGTAATTCCAGAATGCCAAATATTCAAACTCCTACATTGCAACACCACTCAATAGCTTTAGACAGTGTTTTGGCTCAAATAATTTAGATCAAATTGATCCTTCTGGTTTTATAGGCTTCCTAAAAGGCTGTTGTTCACAAGCATTGATGAATGCTTAGAAATGCCTGATTGATATACAAAAGGAATTAATGTTGCAAACCTTCTAATGAAAGTTGTTGTTTTATTACTGCTTTGAAATGAGTAAATTAAGCAATGTACAGATTTGCCAATGGCAAGATTGGTGTGCCATATTAAAGAAAATCAAGCCTGTCATATAGGGAAGAGCGATCTTGGGCTAAAATGTATGAGCTAGGGAGGCAAGCAGTACTGTAGCATCAGTAATGATGTCTTTTTGCTTCCCTTGCGATTTTGAACCACCATCCCCCCTCCCCCTCCCGTGTGCAATGCTTTTTAAAAGAACAGCCCTGCGATTTAAGTTTTGCAGCATGCTTTTCTCCTAACCACAGATTGGCTCTGAATTGACAGCCATGTTGGCTCCCTTGCCTGCCCACCGGTTGGTCTGTTTACTTCAGTGCCTGAATCACCTAAGGAGGTTGTAAATAGTCTGTGCAATTCTATCCTTGCTGCTAACAAAGGAAAGGGTTTTGCTTCTTAACAAAGAAATGTCATGGTTTCCAGTTCCAGATTTAAGATCCAACAATGAACGACCTTTTCTTAAGTCTGATTTGCCAGTTGGATTAAGCTGCTCTTGTTTCCTGCCTTGAAGCTTACTATTCTCTCTACCTCCCACCCACCCCCGCCCATCCTCGATTGTAATTCACTAAGAGCAAGCGTGGGGAATACGCGAGGGTGAACATGGCTGCAGTCTTTCAGGCACTGAGCTTGCTTTGATCATTTTAAATGAATGTACCAGGAGGACATCGCAGTTGCACAGAAACCGACTTCTCTCCTCATATTTTCATCAATTCTACCCTCACACCACCGGCAGACTTAGGAAGCCACTACGATGTTACCTTGCTGACCTTGCTGGTAGTGGGATCGTACAGCTTTTGTATCATTCCTTTGTTAGCCACATTTTCTGGCAGAAGAAGTAGGTGACCGTCCTTTTATATCTATATCCCTATACTTCTATCTGTGGATAGAGAAAAGAGGCAGCATGTCTTGTTTTCGTAAATGATGTGGATGTATCAAATGAAATGCTTTTCCATTCTGTCTGTCTTAAAAGAAATCGTGATGGAGAAGAGAGGGAGGAATGTGTTTAATTTCTCATGAAGTAATGCATGCTTGATGCATATTCTGCACCCATAATAAAATCTGTAAAATACGGTAGCCAAATTCATTTCCAGCTGTGACGTTTGTGTTCCTGGTGATCTTATAACTAATTATTATAAGTATATGCTTCCCCCCCCCCAACCTCTGCTCTCATCCTCCCCCTTGTCAGCATATGCATGGCTTTGCTCAATACACTTCAGAGTTAAATTGTCCGCAATAACCACTACAGAATTCCTTCCTGTCAAGGTTTAAACATCTTCAGTAAGGCAGTTATAAATTAAAACCTAATGTATAATTTTGCATGATTGCAAATGTGCTCTTTTAAAAAAGACAATCACATGATAGCAGTTCTTCATTTAATATAGACTGTGCTTTGTGTAATTTGCTTATAAATTGTGTAGGTCCTGTAATATTTGTGAGCATGTTTTTATACTAAACTGTTATCTTCTCCATAAACCCCAACATTAATCAATTGTCTTGCCTTATAACTGCAGAATTTAAACTGAGGCTGTTTAACAGCTGCCATTGTCTATAGTCTGAATGGTTCCTCAGAAAAGTAAGTCAAAAGATCATAGTGGAACAGTCTGGAGCAAAGGGATGAAAAGGGAAAAAAAAATGTCCCCTCTACCTTTTGCATATTTCAGAATCTTGAGTGTTTAAAATGTACTGTCTCCTTTCACAGAAATAACCATGTAGCATGAACTCTGAACGTGGCATTTGTTTTTGAAATGATAAAATAATAATTAAAAAATAACTTTAAATTACCTGCAATTGTTTAAACTATTTAAATAATAGGTTACAATATTTTTATGATCTTGGTAGTTATAGCTCATACTGCTAAGTAAACTTTTCAAAAATCAATTTATTGTCCATAAAGATTCTCAGATAAATAGTTTTCCTTGTAATGGCAATAGAGGAAGCATGGCCTTTCAGATTATGAAAGTATTGCTCAGAAACACTTGGTCAGTTTCAGGAACAGATGAATTCTTTTCATTCTAGTATCTTTTCACAGGTACTGAGTAGAAAATTGAATATATTTGCTTCATTACCTGAAAATAGCATCTTTCAGACAAATAAACTAGGATATCAATCTGTTATTAATTGGTTAGTATATTTCATATCATAATCCAAAAATTATTCTTTTTGTTGTTGTTGAATCAGTCTTAACTCTGGCAACGATGTAGTCAAGTCCATGCAATTGACTTCTGTAATTAAGCTAGAACTTAGACTAGAACATAGGCTTCTTTGATTCTAGCATGTTGTCTTAACCATTAGACTATGTTCGCTCTGATATTAGTGTGTGTGCGTGCGTATCTTCGAGTCACAGTTTTTCTATTTTTTTGCTTTGACTCCTGATTGCCTGGACTAGACCCTACATTTTTCTTGGCAAAGTTTTTCAGAAGTGGTTTGTCATTGCCTCTTTCCTAGGGCTGAGAGAGAATGACTGGCCTGAGATCAGTAAGCTGGCTTTGTGCCCAAGATGGGATTGGAATTTACAGTCTCCTAGTTTCTAATCCAGTGTTTCTCAACCTTGACAATTTTAAGGCATGTGGACTTCAACTCCCAGAATTCCACAGCCAGCAATGCTGGCTGTGGAATTCTGGGAGTTGAAGTCCACATGCCTTAAAATTGTCAAGGTTGAGAAACACTGTGAATCTAATCTGAGGCCTTAACCACTACACCAAACTGTCAGTATTGCTGATAGTAACATGCAACAAGACAGTATTGCTTTATTTGAAAGAGCATTTTTGAAAGAGCATTTTACTGGATTTGATTTTTATCCTGTCTTGTTGCCCAATGCACAATTAATCAGTTAACAGCAATTTTAGCCACTTTTATAAGATTCTAACTAATTCAAACAAAAAATAAGGCTTGTCTGCAAAGAATAATTTTAACTTTTTCTCATAAAAGTAGAAGGATGGGAGAATAAGCACATCTCTCCAGGAATGTGTTCTCTAGTTTCTTCTATGTGTCCCACCAATGGACATGAGTGAGAATATCTTTAAGAAAGCTCTCCTGCGGACTACAGTGGTTCACAGCTTAAGTGGCTCAAAGATTCATGTTGAGCTAGCCACGCCCCAAACTCTTCAAGGTAAAAGCCACAGCTGGAAAATAATTGGCACATGGTGCAGATTTAGAGCAGATATAACTGTGTTATAACCCACTTACAACATTCTTCTGCTTGGTGTACCATCCTGCTTTCACCCAATTCAGGATGATTCTGTATTGCTGCCACCACCACCTGCACCTTGCAGTCAGGGAGCCCCCTCAGATGGAGTATCTGCTGTTTTTAGAGAACCAGAAGCTGAACAACTATGCCAGGGTTTGCTTTTTCTACTTTGTATGGTTTAGGCTTAATTTCAGCGTGTTCAGCCTCTTTCCTATTGTTGACCATCAGGATGGTAAGGGAATCAAGTGTTTCCATGAAGTTAGATAATAGGGAGCAGCAAAACTGTGTGTGACCATATTGAGGGCACTCCAGATTGCATGTCTAATGCTAGGGCTTTCTTCCTTGTGGGTATAGTTTAACGTGGATTTCAAATGTGTCCATTTATTTATGTTCAGATGCCGATTGAGGATAACACTTCATTCAGCTGATGATATGACTTTAATTCACAAAAACCTATGATGTAAAGTCTGTTACTCTTTAACATCACTAAGCCTCTTTTGCTGTCCTCATTGTCATATATCACATCTTCTAGGGTACCTGCAGAAGTGCTGTAGCTGTGTAATTGCCACAGAATATTTTGAATATTCTCAAAACGTAGTCATTAATAAACTTGCAGTTTATGTTTTTTTCCCCCAATAGCTACAAGTGCTACTATTATTAAGAACGGAGAATGGGATTCCAAATCTGCATGTCAGAATGGTACTGCTGGATCCATCTCTCTAAAGCCAGTGCCCAGGCCACGAGTCCTTTCTCTGAAAAGCACACCGAAAGGTATTTGATCTCAGCAAGGATATATGAGGCAGTAATTGCCATTAGTGAGAAACATACTGGGAAGTTGGCAGAAGATTGTTGATTCCTGTTGTTTTCATGTCCATAACCCTGATAAAAATAGTTTCTATTAAAAAGCTGAGATTGATTAAAAACCAACACTTAGATTTGCAGCCACAGTGGTTATCTTTTCTAAAGTTGGAAGTAAACACTTTTAGAACTATGAAATTGCATTAATAGACAGGTCTTACAATCCTTAAACCAAAAAGTGGATTGTAATAAAAAAAAATTTGTCCAGGCATTGGTTATCTTGATAACCTAAAAGCAGTTTGAGATCAACTAATAAAGGCCCCTGAAGGTAACTTCCTATATGAGAGTTTAGTTTTTTGGAAATTCTGTCAAATATCTTGCCTTTTCATTATATCCTTGATTAATCATCTGCTACAGATTCCATCACCATGGTAGCTGAGTAACCTGACTGCTTTAGGTAGATTGGAACATAATTGCTTAAACAAAATATGATTAGCTACAAATTTATCTGTATTAAAAAATTGGATGACAATTGGCTCTTACTTTGTCTACATAGATTGAGCAGGAGATTAGAACTACAGAATTCACAATTTCTCCAAATCTTGATGCAGAAATAAATAGTAAAAGGAAACATCAGGAACTGAACCCAGTGTTTTTATTTAAAGAAGTAGCATTGGCTTGATTTCTGTTAGAAGGTTGAAGTGTCCTAAGAAGGATCTGCTGCTAATTTGGATCTTTTCCCAGCCTTCATTCTGCAGACATAGGATTTGAAGAATACAGGCTTGGATAACCATTTGGAAGATAACAGATTGGGGAAGTTTTTTCTCAGTGGACCCAGTGTATGATAGAATCTCTCAGTGGGAATTATCCTATGTTCATCTTCCATCATTGATTTTGAAAGAGCAATTTTGCATATGTTGGATGAAAGAAGAGCAGAAACTGAAGAGCAGAATCTGGGTTTTCCTTAGAAAGAATTGAAAAAGCCTTAATCAATTTGGTGCCTTCCAGATGTGTTTGGGTATAGAACCAATCACTCCCAGCTAGCTGTGAAAGCTGAATATGTAGCATGCTTCTGCTAACTTTAAAAAGAAGCTGATGTTTGTCCATAGTTTTGAGGTGTGCTTGATACTTTACTTGTACTATATTCTAACATAATTATTTTATGGGTTTTTTTTCCTTAAGGAGCAAAAGGTAAAATAGGCTTAGTGAACCAATGTGCTCCCAAGTCGGCTGGAGTTCTTCCAGGGAAAAAAACAAGTGATCTAAGAGGGAGTCAACGATTAGGTAAAACGATCATTTCATTCTTGTGTTGTATTCATATAATTAAGATGAAAACCTACATATTTTATGCCTCCTTTTCTGTCACTATTAGATAATTGGTATGGCATTTGCTCAGTTTACAAGACCTAAGTTGGGGAATTGATTAAACCTAGGTTTTGAGTATTTTACTGAATACAGAACGATTTCTTTTTTTTTTTTTTTTATGGTCTGGGCAAAATTCTCACTTCAATGGCTATGTGCCCTTTAAAAATTGTTTAGGAGAAGTGCTTTAAACCTGGCAGGAGCTCCGCACAACATTAATGCTCTTTATTAAAGCTCCCACATTTTTTGAAGTTTCTGTGCAAGCCTGAAATAATGACATAGCTGCTTTAAGAGTTGCTTTAATGATTTTGTTAATTCAAATAATTATCATATTAAGATACTAGACTAGCACTGAAGAACCTAGGATGAAGTCCAACTTCAGCCAGAGAAGCTTACTGAATAATTTAGAGTCAATCATTCTCAGTCCAACCTATTTCTCAGGCAGTTTGTTGAAATTTATCAAATTTATCAAATTTCTACACTGCCCAACTCACCTAGGCAATTCTGGGAAGTTTAGAAACACCATATACTTTATCCTTTCCTGAAGCGAAGATAAGTTATAAATCTAACAATTATACCAGAACTCAGATTTCAGTTATAATTGCATATTCATTTCTGAAAAATCATGGCAAGATATTTAATTGAGAAGATTCCACACATTCCTTGTCTCAAATGAAAGTAGGGAATAAATTAAATCTTACTGGCAGGCTTCTTTTCCTAAGGGTTTTCCAAGAATTAATAATTAATGATAGGCTGCTACAATTAGATTAAATCTCCTGCTCTATCTTGTCTGGGGAATGCCTGCAAAGTGTTTTCTATTCAGGGTACTGTAGGAAAAACAGATCTTTGGATCTTCTTGCCTAAAAATATAAATTGCAAAACTCAGTAAACCTAATATTTTTTAAATAAGAAGGTAACAATGCAATCTTGCATGTAATGGAAATTTTAATTTTAAAAAATAAAACCAAATCTCCAGATTAGAGGATTTTAATCTTTTTCAGGTGAGAGACAGAGAGCTTCCCAATGCTGCCTTAGAAGCCCTAATTAAGAGACAAAACTTTTTCACTTACTGTCTCTTAATGGGATTACAATTTCTCATGGAACCCAGAAGAAGTATATTGGGAGAATGGAAGAACCCCCCCCCCAAAAAAAAACAAGGGAAGGAAATGTTCACACAAAGACTTAAAAACAAATCAGTATAATTAACCTATATATAGGTTATATATTATCTGCTTGAATAAAATATCGGAACAAAGTACATATCCAAATTTCATTATAGAGAGGGTAGTTGGAGAAAAGTCATCTGGGCCTCATGTTTGGATATCCGAAGTCATACTATTTCTTCTTTTTCTTTGAATACTGTTCTCACCCTTTTATTAAACGTGGAAAATAAGTGGAAGCCATATTTTGGGGGAGACCAGTTCTTCCTATGTCCAATCGAACTAATTGAACCATCTGTGCTTTAATGGCTACATCCAGAAATTTTAGTTTGCAGCCAAACCCACCTTCCTTTGTGTGTGTGTGTGTGTGTGTGTGTGTGTGAGAGAGAGAGAGAGAGAGAGAGAGAGAAGAACTTACTAATTTTCATAGGATATGGTCTTATGGAAAGGGATTGTGTGGATGAGACTGCTTGAGGGAACAAAAGATTAATTCCATGTATGTACGACTTTAGTGACGGGGTCATGAGCAACAGCAGTCAATGCCTTCAGAAAAACCTGCTACGGAGTAGCAGGCTTTGAAAGGAAAAGGGCCCAAGTTCCTCCTGATTATCTTTTGACAAATATTCCAGAAGCAGTATCTGCCCTTTATTAAAAGCAGAACTTTTAATAAGTGGAATAAAACCTTCTACTTTTGATCTCTTACTATTAATGTTAAGGAGCTGATACTGAGACGAATATATTGACTTCAAGATTAATAGCCAAACATATTTAAATGTTTTTGTAGGTAACATCTGATATGATACCATGGAAACCTCTTATAATGTGTTCATTTTGTAGGCGAGTTACATGCCAAATTAGAATTTTATCTTTTCCAGGATCTTCAGCGCAAAATGGATCCAGGCATTTATTTTCGGCATTCAGCTCTGGTGAGTAGTTTAATCTCTCCCTCCCCACTCACTCCTAAATGTTTTATGCCATCAAAGAAGATTCTAGTCCTGAAATGTATATGTAAGTGTTTTGGAAATGTTACGTTTGTATAAGTACATAACTTAAGATGCTGGATGTTTTCTGTGTATAATAATTTGATGCTTAAATGCAAATTTGTGTACATACGCTGAATGAAGCTGCACAACCCCCTTTCCACTTCTTGATCAAATATTTATGGATTACTTGGCCCACTTGGCCCAGTCATAGACAGGTTTGAATGTTTTTGTCTATATGGATTTAATGCTGTAAACTAGATTTAGCTAGAAATAAAATAAAAACTGATGATGCAATCCACTGAGGACAAAATACCTATCCAGCATCCTTCTTGTTCTCACTGATGTCATCAGCTTCATATATGATTAATTCATGCTTACATTTAAAGCTATCATCATCATCACATTTAATTTCACTCTGATATAATAAATATATTATTGATTTTGTGGTTTTCTAATAAGGCGGGGTAATGAACAATTAAAAAATAGAGTGGTACAATTAAACCCTTCATTGGAAAGGAAACCCATTTGCTATTTTAATGTATTTTTCTCTCCTAGCTAGACTTATAAACAAGAAGATAAGTCAAAAACACAATTCACTAGTATTTGAAGTGAACATTTGTATGCAGAGGTTAAATGCATTACTTTATTTTTAAAGTTTAATAAAGCAATAACAGTAATAACAGTAACAATGGCTATGTGCCCTTTAAAAATTGTTTGGGAGAAGTGCTTTAAACCTGGCAGGAGCTCCGCCCAACATTAATGCTCTTTATTAAAGCTCCCACATTTTTTGAAGTTTCTGTGCAAGTCTGAAATAATGACATAGCTGCTTTAAGAGTTGCTTTAATGATTTTGTTAATTCAAATAATTACTGCTTGCATTGAAGCACTTCTTCCAAATATTTTTTAAAGGATGCATAGCCATTATAACAATCACATACATAAATGGTATGTAAGTGGTATGGTATATATCTGACAAAATTTCAGCGCTAAAAATTCATCCTCATAATTTGATTATATTGAGAAAAACTGCTATGTTTTTACCACTCCAATTTCAGTTTCTTAAAGGTTAGACTCAGTAAAATCAATATTTACAATTGGGGGAGGAATAAATAATGAGAACTATGTCAAGCCAGTTTGGTTTAGTGGTTAAGGCATTAGACTAGCAAGTGGGAGACCATGAATTCAAGTCTCGCTTTAGCCATGAAAGCCAGTTGGTTGACCTTGGGCCAGTCACTCCCTCTCAGCCCAACTCACCTCACAAGATTGCTGTTGTAGGGAAAAGGAGGAGGAAGGTATGTTGGATATTTGCTGACGAGTTATTTGTAAAAATAACAAAAATGGGATGCATACAAATTAAATAAATAAATAAATAATAGGAATTTTTTTTTTACCTTTCTGAATTCCCCAGAGATTCTTTTCAGCAAATTATCTGTGTTTGCTTAGTTACTTCAGTTCACCATAGCCCATTTCAGTGCTCTCCCCTTGGCAGTTTTAGAGGATAGATAGAAGAACACTCCAACTTTCCCAAAACTATGCCCAGGACGAGCAAGGATGTCAAATTGATCGGATAGGCTGTGTTATGTTTTATTTCAATTGGACAAAATTAAGTCAGGGTTTATTTAAAAACTGACCAGATGTCACTTAGATACATTATATAAACTCTTTACTGGTAGACAGAGTCCCTGAAAGGACCGGAATCTCTGAAGGGGCTGACATATTAATATATTTCTTTTTATGAAGAAACCGCTTCTTCTTAAGCAATGAGGGCTAATTAGAACATATGTCCTTATTAAAAGTAGAGTGAACGATGGGATTGAAGTCTTAATCATGACTGTATTTGATTATGTTTATCCAGTCAATCAATCTTTTATTAAGGTCGTGGCCTAGAATTAAAAATTAAAACATTAAAATAAACAGAACAAGAGCTAATAGTATATTACAGTTAGTGATGAGATCATCGGTGGGTAGTCAAAGTCTGCCTAATTTTGTAGACAGTATAACAGAGTTTAGCTATAGAAGATTGTATCAGACTAATCCAACAATAACAGCTGAACATAAAAGATATCAGGATTTTCGAGCTAATCTACCATGTGGGGAGTTTTGAATCTGTGAATCTTTAGCGAGGGTACAATATAACAGGACACGATCTGTGGTTTCAATGGCCGCTTGTCCATAGGGGCACAGTCTCAACTCCTAATGGGGCTTTTTGGGATTGGGCTTCCAGAACTGCTATAGGAAGGCTGTTACATCAGACTAGAGTTAGAGTCCTCCACAATTTAGAAACCGTTATATAAGTATTTCATTGGCTTAGGTCTAGTGATTAAGGCACCAAGCTAGAAAGTAGTAGACCATGGCTCAGCATGGAAACCTCTGCCTTTCTCCTCAGCATGGCTGGCTCAGGAATTCTGGGAGTTGAAGTCCACGAGTCATAAAAGAGCCAAGGTTGCCTACCTCTGGTCTAGTGATTAAGGCACCAAGCTGGAAAGCAGGAGACCATGGCTCAGCATGGAAACCTCTCCCTTTCTCCTCAGCATGGCTGGCTCAGGAATTCTGGGAGTTGAAGTCCACGAGTCATAAAAGAGCCAAGGTTGCCTACCCCTGGCTTAGGAGGATGGGGGCTGACTGCTAAAGAAAACATTATTGGATAGAGTATACAGGTCCTGTTGAAATTATGTTTATTATCTACATTTCTAGTTGTGTTCTGGAGATAGAACATAATTTATATTTGATTTGATGTTTTAAAGATATTTTAAATATTAATAGTAAAGCCAGCCTTGGCCCAAATTTGCATCTATTGTAATGCTTCATGCAAAAAACTCAAGATGGCAAACTACTGAAAACAAAGAAGTGTGTAAAAGTGTAAAAGTGATATTAATTATGTTAATGTTTTATTGGGCCATCTCAATTATTCAAATAAGGTACAAGCTTTCGATTTCTCAGAACTTTTCATTAGCCAGGATTAAAAACAAAATAAATGGAGATGGGAGAAGGGGGAAAAAAATCTAGTGTTAAAATAACAGAGTCTTCATCTTGTCACATACTTAACACAGAAAAGGAAAGGGGGTTTCATAATGTTTTCAGTTTGCATTAATATCCATGCTTGCAAAAAAGGTTGCTTACTCTGAAATGTGTATCTTGTGAGTTAAAATCAGTCCGATGAATCTAGAATTTGTCCAGGCATCAAAGAAAATAGTTGTGGACCTGGATGGTCCCAAATTGTTTTCCTTTTCCCTTAAACTGGAAACAAAAGAAACAATACTAGACACAAAGAGAATCTGGTCCTTCTCCCCCCTCCTCATCTCCAACTAAGCTGTAAAGAAAAGTGACAATAATTTCAATAAGTAATGATGAACCAGAAAGCTCTCTTCCCAAAATAAAGCTATTTGATCTAAAGTGGTATGAAGGAGAGACAATTCCAGTGTCATGAAAATGGCATCCTATCTGCTTTCCTACCTAAAGCATTTTCTTCTTGAACTTGATGTGCTGAACAGAGACATGGCAATTCATCATCTTAAACTTCTTATCTTGGTTGATTTCAATATTCATATACTGAGATTCTTTCACACATATATAATGCTCAATGTTTTGTCCTTCCTTGGCACGTGTTTTTGCTAATATAGAGATGCTTTTCTTGCCTTCCTCCATGTCCAATTGTTTGTATAATAATAATAATATTCAGCACTGACATGAGTGACAGTTTTCTTTGCTGCACTTCTTGCAGTGGTGTAATTTTGCCAGTTTTCTTGGGTGTTATGTGTGTACCAGTTCTTGTTGGCCACCTTTTTTCAGTATTCATACTGAGATTGCTGGCCCCAGATTGGTTTACAGTTTCATGTAGATGGTGGCAACTGGGACCTACCATGGCTTTTCTCAAAGTACCTGCCCCAAAGACTTTCTCAGACAGCACTTCTGCTAGAACTATATGTGAAGCAGCTGTACATGTGCACACGAGGAAACCCAATCTGAGAAAGCCATTCCAAACTAGTTGTTTTTCTTATTGCTTCAAGAAGCAGTTTGATTCACTTGTACCAATGTGCTTTTGAACATGTTACATAATCCTACTAACTAATACATAGCCTCCAACATACAGCCTGATAGAGGCAAGATTTTATATTCTCTTGGGTCAAACAAGGGATTCTCTGTAATTCTCATATCATGAATAAGTTGCTGTCTCTTCAGCTTTTGGCTGGTGCCATTTAGGGTGATCGACCTCTTCAGGAATGAAGAACTAATTAATACAGCCTCATGTTGGCATGGATGTTTTCTGAATGTGTTTGAAGAATTTCCCACCTCTTACATCATTGAGCTTATTAAAGCCTTGTCAGATTTTAGGCTATTTTTAAATTTTTCTGTTGATGTACTTGTTATATAGCAAGTAATCAGAAAAACAGCAGGGATTGCACCTCTATCAGTTGTTCTATGGGTTTGAGATAAGGATCAAATGGCTGGAGATATATACAGTACTTCAAACAGAGAATACCAGTGTTAAATGAAGCCTATGTTTGTGCATATCTTGAAATTAATTCAGTCCATTTTTTGATATTTAGGGCATTCCTCATTCTACTTGGCTGCACTAGTTCAGCATTTTTGAAACATCAGTTACAACTTTTCCCATCTGGAAAATTAGAATCAGTGAATCATAAATTTGTGGGCGGCATACAAAGTTAGCTTAATGGGGTTTTTTTTCCTTCTGAGATGTACCTGGAAATTTAAAGTGACAAGTTTTTAACTGATACAGCTTAAAGCATTTATCCTACATTAAGATTACTGCTTACTTAATGACAGTTAAAACAAATATACAAAATTAACCTAATCCTATAGGCAAAGAACTCTGTTTAATATTTTTATAATCAAACAGAATATTGATACAGCCACAAACAACAAATCTACTTAAGTTTAATAAAAAAAAGCCAAATTATTGTTGTCTAGTCTTGCTGGGTCAGA